TACATTCACCAATGGGACCCAAACTAAAAGGCCAGGTGGGTGGAGCAGGGCCAGGGTGGGCAGTAGGGAGTGCTGGGGGCCATGGTGGGCAGAGCGTGCGGGCTCTGGTTCAGTCCCTATGGGGCAGTTGTTGACCAGGTCTCCCATAGGTGGCAGGGGTCCCAAGACTCGGGCCCGTCTCTGTTACTTCCCCAGGCCGTCAGTGGGAGCTGGCATGGAAGCAGAGGACATGAACAATGCCTACACGGGATGCCAACACTGCTGGAGGTGGTTTTAGCCGCTAAGCCACAACAGCCTCCAGTGACAGTTTATAACACATTAGGTTAAGCCACTGGGACACCAACATCCCATGTGGGTGCAGGTTCAAGTCCCAGCTGCTCCACTTCCCATCCAGCTCCCTGCTAATGCTCCTGGGAAAGAGGCAGAGCATGGCCCAAGTGCTTGGGCACCTGCACCCGTGTGGGAGACCCGGGTGGAGCTCCTGGCTTCTGACTCTGACCATCGTGACCACTTGCGGGAGTGAACCAGTGGATGGAACATCCCTGTGTAACTCTGCCTTTCAAATAAATAAATCCGTTTTTTTTTAAATAGCATGAATAGCGGAAATTTGCGGTGCCCCCCTGTCTCACATGTACTGACTCAGCCCTTGCATCACGCGCAAGTGGAGAACAGGCTGAGGGCTCGTGCCGCCCAGCCTGGGGCCACAGGGCACACCTCAGAAAGCTCCTGGAAGGTGGCCTTGCACAGGAAGCGAGTCCGCTGCCCAAAGAGGCAAAACTCTACCTAGGCGAAGTTATCACGCCGGTCGGCTGTGCTGTAACCCACGGCCAAGGTGCCTGGGAGGGCCGTGCAGGCGGCAGTGCCCATGGGCAGCCCTGGCCTAGCCTGGCTCCACAGCTAGGAGCTCGTGCCCTTCAGGGACAGGGCGAGCTACACTGGGGCGGCAGTCCTGGGCGGCCTGGCCAGCGACACGGGGCGCAGCAGGCACCTCAGGGCTCCAGGCGGCACACGGGCACCTGTCAGCCTCCCGCCGGACCTCCTGGCTCCTGTCAGTCAGGTCACCCCGGCAGAGTCCGGACCCTCGGCCCCAGGGGGACTCTGGCCCCGCAGCCCCCACCCAGGGACCTCCAGGCCCCCCAGACAGGCGCATTTCACCATCACCAGGAATCCACTCCGTGTGCGCAGCACAGCCAGCACCCCTCCAGCGCCTCAAATCCGCCCGCCATCTGGGACAGACTTCACTGGCAGCGCTGGGCCCAGATGGACGCCCACAGGGGAGCTGAGAGCAGAACCCGCAAGGGGTGGGGGAGGCAGAGGAGATGGAAGGAGGGAGGGAAGGAGAGAGAGAAACAGGGCGAGTCCAAGGGACGGGAGAGGGAGAGAGAAGCCGGAGGAAAGGGAGGGAAACAGGACAGAGAGGAGGCGAGTCCAAGAGAGGGCCGGAGGGAGAGGGGGCAGTCACAGAGAGAAAAAGAGGAGAGACAGAGATGGGGTGAGGAATAAAACCACTGAGAGGCGTATACGAAAGGGGAGAAAGAATCGAGAAGAGTGAGGACCGCAGTCTGAGAGACTCCGGGCGGGTGAGGGCGGCTCCCCGGGCAGCCCTGCCCCAGGAGGTCAAAGGGGAAGGACCCCACCCCCTTCCCAGAGCCCAGGGGATGAGGGGACAGTACGGGGGGCTGCTCCCACCTGGCACCACCTCCAACATGGCGCCCGCTCCCACCTGGCGCCTCCTTGCGGTGGAGCACAAGCCCCGCCCTCCCGAGCTGAGCGCCTGCGGACGGCCCCCACTGCACCCGGGATTAGGTTTCACGTGCCATAGCATCCTGGAGGACCACAGACCCTGGGACGCCAGCAGCGATGGTGGCCTTCCGCCCTGCCCCCGGGGATCACCGGGGAGGACAGCGGGCGCTGCCTCCCACCTGGGCTGCTGCCCCAGCTTCCAGCCCTGCGGCCTCCAGGGTCAGCCAGCGTGCGACAGAACCAGGGGCCTCCAGAGGCAGACACCCAGGCTGCCCCCAGCCACAGGGCTGGCCCTGCGGCGAATGTGGGGTGGAGGAGCCTCCGGGCTTGGAGCTGCTGGCAGTTGCGGGAGCTGAGCATCTGTGCATTGTGGTCTGGGAAAAGGGCTGTTTGGAGGGGTGCCTCGCTGCCCCTCTGCCCACCCTCCGCAGGATGCTGTCCAGAGGTGGCAGCCGTGTGCACACTGGAGACAGGACCTCTGCAGCCCACGGCTCCGGCTGTCCACTAGACATTCACTCCCCATCTCTCCCCTCCAGGGCCTGAATATCTTCTACTCACTATTTAGTAATTTGTCCACTGTAGGTTTTGTGTGACATCACACCTTCTGTCACGCCTGTGTTGTAGTAGGTATCAGTGCTGGGTTCCTTTTTAGAGCTGGGTAATATTTTCCACTGGATGGACAGACCATGCTGTGCTTGTCCTGTGATGGATACTGGACCATCTCCACCTGCGGGCACGACAGCCGACACTGCCCTCACCATTGTGCTGGAGCCATGAGGGCCGCTGGCTACAGACCGTGTGTGGGACTGCTGGGCTGCCTGACAACTCTGCGAGAAACCCAGGGACCGCTTCCCATCAGCCAGACGGCAGGGGGCGTCCTCTTCCCCGCACCCAAGCCCCGGGAACCACAGGGCAGGCAAGGGGCCCTCAAGGGGGCCTGTAGGAAGTGCTGCAGCAGAGGGGTTTCCGCAAAAGCCCTGGTCAAGGCCCTAAGCCCGCTGTGATCCCATCTCCAGAAACAAGCCCTGCACCCCAAGAGCAAGGATTCAAAATGGCGCTGTCACCCTGTCAGAGTGGCTAAGACCGCAGGCTGGGAGCCCCTCCCTTCAACCTGGGGCACCGGGGGCACCAGGAGAGGGACATGGCTCAGGACAAGCCATCCCCACGGCACATGGGAGCCCCCACTGTGCCCCGGAACACGAGTGTGAAATCTAGCAGTCAGGGCAAGGCTGACCTCCCTGGATTCAATTTGCAAGGTGAACCAGGCAAGAGCCTGGGCCTAATGGAATTGTCACATTTGCGTGGCAATCATTTACCATGCGCTCCAGGCATGTCAGAACAGGAAAGCAATTACACGACACATTCCCTGGCAGGACCCTGACGTTCTCATCCAGGGTAGAGACTGCCAGCAGGTCAGGTTGCTTTAAATGAAAAAAAAAAAAAAAAAAAGAAAGCCACAAAGACAGGTTCCTAGTGAGAAGTTGAAAGTTTGCTCGTGCCTGGAGACCCCGTGTGCGAGCCTCGAGGCATGCTCTCTCTGAAATGCACTGTCTTAAAGGTCTATAGTGAGCTGCCTGGTGAAAAGCCCCAGCTTGCACAGGTGGGAGGAATGGGACACACCAGGCCTGGGCGCTGTGGTTTTAGAATTCTGTGACATGTGAACTGATTCTCACTCCAGATCTAATCAGGGGCTGGAAATGACAGGGTGTGTGACAGAGCTGAGGGACCTGGGAACCATGCGCGACAAGTGATCTTAACACTGAGGGACAATTTTTCCATTCATTCCAGGAACTACCCCCCACAACAACAAGAACAAACAAACAGGAGGTGGTGTTTATCCAAGGGTCCAGCCACCCTCATGGGAATCCTCCCCAAAGGCTCAGTGCCTCGCCCCCTGGCCAGGAGCCACAGCCCCCAAGGGTCCCTCTGGATGCGCTATCTCCTGAGAAGCCTGGCACCCCTGGCCCAGCCAGCTCACCTAGGTACATCCCAACATACTGGCCACCAGCCCACCCACTCTCAGGTGCCTTTCTGTGGCTGCCACAGCTGGACCCTGATGTCATGACCACCCATCCCCTGCCCTGGAGCCTGTGGAAGTGTCAGGAAGCACTGACCAGGGCACAGCTGGTGACTGTAGACTCTAGCAAGTCGGTCAGCAGCAGATGTTAAGATGTGGAGGATCAGCGTCTGGCACTTGGTGCAGTATCCAGGACGCCACCTGAGGGGTCGGCCTGTGGTGAAGTGAGTTAAGCTACTGCCTGCAACACCAACTTTTCCTAGGAGGGCAATCAGAGTCCCGGCTCCTCCACTCGCAACTGAAGTCCCTGGGAAAGCACGCCAAAATGGCCTGAGTACGTGGGCCCTGCAGCGACACAGGAGACCAGACGGAGTTCCTGGCTCCTGCTCTCACCTGGCCCAGCCAGCTATTCTGAGCATTTGGAGAGAAGCCAGTGAACTGGAGATCTCTTTCTGTGTGTCTTTCAAATAAAACTAAAATGTTCTACTTCAGGGGGTACAAAGTGGCATCATCCTAGGACCCTCAGACAGGCCCGAGGTAACCCAGCCTGCGGGCAAGCCAGAGGGCGGGCCCTGCCACTGCCAGCCTCAGGGAAGTAGATTCCATGGCGCCTCCAGAAGCAGTCAGCCCTACGGAGACCTCTCCCCGCACATCTACCAGCCTGTAGGGGGTTGCTGCAGCCACCAACTAGACAGCAAATGCAGCAGCCACAGGGGCCTGGCAGCCGAAAGGCCCCCCGGGAAGACGTGGGCCCCCAGCTCTGTCCAGCGAGCCAGACAAGCGCCTGTGCCAGCGACAGTACAGCCCAAAGGCGTTCTCGAGAGGCCACTGTTTTGCAGATCAAAGGGGGCAGGTGTGGAGGCAGCTCCTGGCCTTGCATCCAGCCCTGCTGGTCTGTCCCCTCCCTGGAAGACTGAGACAAGGCTGGAGCTGCAGCCTGAGCAACAGGCCGTGCCGGCTGTGGTGCCACTGGGCCACACAGAAGGCTGTGACACACAGCAGACACAGGCCCACTCCCAGCATCTCTGTGATGGGAGAGAACCATAGACACCAGGCCAGCTATGGGGGAGCCCGGAGCAGGGGATGAAGGGACCCAGGGTGTCAGCCACCCTGAACAGCATGGCTTGGCCAGCAGCAGTAGCCACAGGCAACCCCAGCAACGTGGGCCAATGAGCCCAGGGCACAGCGCCCCCAACCCCCAGATCGCCCCCAAGAAACACACAGGCACAGCCGCAGCATCCAGGGGTGTGCCGAGGCACACAGGAGGCGACTCCTCGGAGCAACTGTGCCCTTGTATTTTACAATCCAGAACAAAGTAGGTCACCGTGCTCAGTCAAAAGATACAAAAATGAACAATGGGGCGATAGACACCTGCAAGCCTTGAGGAACAGCAAGTGCACAGGCGCTGCCTGGCCGGGACTCCAGGCCTTGGTGGACAAGTCACAAGGAGAACCCCCAGGTCTGTCCCCTGAGGCCTCGACCTGGAGCAGCCCCAGAGAGCCCCAGGAGGAAGGTGGGGTCACACTCAGCTACAGCAGACACCATCAGAAACCTGGGCAGGGCTGCAGGCTGTGTGCTGGGAGTGACGGAGGAGCCGCGTGTGCTCAGACGGGAGCTGCCCACGGCAGGGGGTGTGACTGGAGTGTGGCTAGGGGTCCAAACTCTGTGTCAGCCATGACTCAAGACGACGGGAGCAGCTGGTTGCTAAGGCCCAGCTGCCCACCGTGGAAAGGCTGGGCCGCCGGCCGTCCAAGGCTGGGGCCGCGTCCTCTGGGGCTGCTCCCTTCTCGGGCCGGTGCTCAGCATGGAGTACATGAGGCCTGCGGGAAAGCAGAGCGGCCAGGAGCACAGCAAGAGGAAGAAACAGGCCTGCATCTGCAAGGAGTGAATGTGAGCACGCCGAGCACTCAAGCCCATGGGTGCCCTGCTGGCTGCGCGCACCCGGGGCCACATGCGCAGCCCCCGCTCCGTGCCCTGGCCAGGGCATGGAAGCCTCATATCCCTGAGATCCACCAACAGGACAGGGCACGGCTTGCCCCACCCTGGCCCACAGGCTTCTACACAACTGGTATATGGAGGGCTCGCTGCACATGTGTGTGGCCAGGCAGCAGGCAGGCCAGCCGATTCAGAAGTCCCGCAGCTCAGGGATGTCCCAGTACAGGTCCAGGCTCTCGGGGTTGGAGAAGGCCCCACGCTGCTCCACAGCCTTCCCAGCGATGACCTGCTTCACGGCCACCTCCACCTTCTTGCCATTGAGCGTGTACTGTGAGGAATAGGAAAAGAGGACGCAAAGACACACTGTTACTTTTTAAACTGACCCCTTGCAGACCCTGGACCGCAACCAGCCCCGGGGAGCCACGCTCAGCTGCAGCACCCTCGGGCTCTGGAAGCTCACTGCAGCAGCCGAGACAGACAGCCACTCTCCTGAGGCTGAGGGCCCAGCACCAGCTCAGCATGTGCCACCCATCCATGGCCTCCAGGCCTTGGGTGCTGCACACCCAGGCCCCTCAGAACCCAGCTGTCTGTCACAGGCCAGCTGGACGCCACACAGACTCCACTGGCAAACAAGGCCTGTGTCATGACCAGGAGGTGATGGCAGCTTGTCCCCAAATGCCAACAGGGAGGAAGCTCTCGGCACAGCCGGGGAGTCGTGGGCCAACTCCTCACCCAGACCTGCCTTACCCTTACATGAGCTGAGGATGGGGTCTGGCCTCAGAGGGCGGCAGGCCTGCCCAGGAGCTGCAGGAGGCTGGCTGTGTTCATCTCATCCCACACACCATCCCCGAGTGACCCTGATTTGGCCTGCAGAAGCAGACCCATCTGAGCAGCTCTCTCTCAACAGGCAGAGCGAGACAGACAGCGAGAGCACCTGCTCCCGGCTCACTCCCAAGGCCCTTGGCAGACGGGCCCCAGCCAGGAGCCCAGAACTCTGCAAGGTCTTGCACCCACTCAAGCCGTCCTCACTGCTGCCAGGGTCCGCACTAGCAGGGAGCGGAGGTGGGCAGGAACTGCAGCCCAGCACCCTGACGTGGCAGGCGGGACGTGGGCCTCCAGACCACCAGCTCACAAGCCTTGTATGCTCTCAGCTGACAGGAAGAGCTGGCTGGGACAAAGCCTGCTGCAAAGTGAGAATGCTTCAAGTCAGAAAGGCCTTGCAGGTCAGAGCCGCGGCACAGCAGATGCACGCCTGCAGCGCTGGCATCCCATACGAGCACTGGTTTGCACTCCGGCTGCTCCATCCAATCTGACTTCTTCTAATGCACCTGGGAAGGCAGGGGAGGGCAGCCCAAATGCCCGGGCCCCTGTGCCCATGTGGGAGACCTGGAGGAAGCTCCTGGCGCCAGCCTGGTACAGCCCTGGTTATTAGAGCCATTTGGGAAGTGAATCAACAGGTGGAAGAGCTCTCTAACTCTGCCTTTCACACAGCTCACCCAAAAAGCATGGTGGCCTTAAAGGTACAGGGACACACACGCTGGCCCTGGGCAAGGCCACCACGTGAGCCGCCTTACTGATGTGCTGAGCACAGGGAGCCAAGCAGCCGCTGTACTGAAGGTGGAAACAGGAGAGCCAGGCCGTGCAGGCACCATGGGGAACCACACAGCACACCTGAGCTGGCCGGCTGCTAACCTCACTGTGCCTGGGTGCAACAGGAGGCCTGGCCATGAACTTGGGCCACACCCCAGAACCTCACTCATTCACAAGTGTTCCTGAAAACCACTCCTGGAGGCGGTGCATCACCTCCCTCACAGGCAAAGTTCCCTTTCAAACTCCGGCAGCACGTCGCATGCGGCACCGGGCTCCGGGCAGCCTGGCTGAGGTCACTGCCAGAAACTGCTAGGGCTGCCGCCGCAGAGCCAGGAGGCAGGCCGGCCACCAGCACCCCAAGGGCCCTTGACACACACTTTTTTTTTCCCAGAGATGTAATTAAATTCGCTCATTGGTAAAATCAGCAATGTGTGAACTAATTAGGGCTCTAAACACTGACTTCCAAGGGAACTGCAAGGGCGTGTGTGCTGGCCCTCTCGGATGTCTCATGTCCGTGTGACCAGGCTTCACACACACGGCACAGCACGCGACGGCCTGCTCCCCTCCCATCCTGGCTGTGTGGGCATTTGGGTACGTGAAACAGAAAGTCTCTCACCCCATCCGTTGCTCTGCATCTCAGTACTAAACCTGTTATAAGTCAGGAGGCGGAGCAGCCCGTCAGAGAAGACGCGGCACCAGCAGAGGAGGCGCCATCACCCAGTCACACCCTCTCTCTAAGCGCCTCTCCCGTGTCTCCTTTGAGCTCCCAGTCTCTGCTTTGCAGTTCTGACCACGGCCAGCAGACTTGGGGCCCCTGCCGGCTCAGGAGGCAGCAGGGCCTCCCCCAAAACCACCACAAGCAAAGCCCCTGGCCTAGCATGGGCCACCCACCCGCCCTTTCTGACCTGACAGGGGTCCTGTCCCCGAGGAAGAGGACCGTGGTCACTCCTGGGCCCCGCCCTGCAGAGGCAGGCCAGGCCAGGCCCTCCCCTCCATGTTCTGGGACACAGGGGTCTGCTAGCGGGTTTCGGGAGGGAGGGCGGGAGTGGGGCACAGCTGTAGCCCACAGGCGCCTGGATGGGGTGGGAGGGTGAGCACACGAGAGCTCTGAATAACTGCCCACACTCCCGAGACTGTGTGAGCCTGGACATGCCCACATTGTAGCTAGGGACACAGGGCTCCCTCCAACACAGTGACACGCCCCCAGACAGAGCTGGCTCAGACCCCAAGGACAGGAAGACAGGGAAGCGTCACTCTTGCAGGACGGGGTGCATCTCCACGGAGAGCCAGCACTGAAGGCAGCTGGCAGGAGAGAGGAAGAACCCCACCCCCACAGCAACAGCATGACAGGCAACCTGGGGCCGCTGCGGGACGACTCAGCAGGTATGTACGGCAGGGGTGTGGGCAAAGCAAAGAGGCTGAGGGAGCAGTGGCCTCCAGCAGCGAGCCGGCAGCGTACCAGATGTGCACGGGGGCTTACCGCCTGTCAGGTGGACAACACCCTATTAGTGCCCTCCACACACCGGAGGCTTACCACGGGCAGCAGATGCCCTGCAAGTGCCCCCTCCACAAGCAGAAGGTTCACCACGGGCAGCTAGTACCACTTGTACAAAGTAGGCATTCCCTAAGCACTCTCCCTCCCCCTACTCCAAGACAGGGGGTTTGCAGAAATCCTTTAAGACAAAGAAAATGGGCCAGGTGTGTTTCCAGGATCTCAGATCAAGGGCTTTGCAGACTGCAGTACTGCTCCACCCCTGGCTAATTCCATCTAGCTGCTCCTTACACACTCAGCCCTGCTCATGTTCAAAGTCAGCTCCACCTGTGAACGAGGCGGCACTGCTCCAGGGTGGCAGGAGTCCACGCAGCCCTCTGTGCACCTACGTGTTTAGACCGTGCACACACATGTACACGCACAGGCTCACATGTACACATACGCACACGGCTAGAGGCACCCTCTGCCCCCAGAGACTGTCAAGCCGTGCTTGAGCCGAGACTGTGGGCAGAGCACAGAGGGGACAAAGGTGCCAGGCTGGCTGCCCCACAGACTCAGAGTCAGCAGGCAGGAGTGACAGCACCCCAGCAGCTCCAATCAGAATTGATCTGCTCATTAATAACTCTGAGAACACATGGAGCCCCTGAGGGAGAAGTCAGCGGGGACCGTGGGGCCACTGAAGCCCAGAGCCCAGCGTTTAGTGGCGAGGGCGGGCTGGCAGGCCCAGGCGGCGTGTGGGGCAGGAGGTGGGGCGTACCGGGATGCCCTGGGTCTCCAGGATGAGGCTGGGCACGTGGCGCGCAGACAGGCCCCTGCGGATGGCGTCCCGGAGGCGGTTCACCAGCTCAGGCCCGAAGGTGTGGCCCGGGGCCATCTTGAGGAAGAGGATGACCCGCTCCTCGCCGTCCTTGTTGTACTGGGGCACGCACAGGCTGTCCATCACCTCCTCGAAGGCTTCCACTGCGGAGACAGTGCCCTGGCTCAGGGAGGCTCTGAAAGTGTGGGCAGGACCAGCACGGGAGGGGTGGGGTGGGCCGAGGCCATGCAGCAGGACTGCCCCCACTGGCTGTCCAGAGGCCGGGACCTCCCTCCGGAACTCTGACCCAACTCTAGCTCGGAGGCTGCCTTGCAGCAAGAGCAAGGCAGTGGCCTGGCTGGGCCCCTGGGCCAGCACCGCTATACTCCACGGCCTGCACAGTACCGTGTGCCCTCAAGTCACATGATCTCTGACACAGCCAACCACCTGACCCACCATGAGGGTCTGGCGTCACCCAGAGCCCCACACCGAACGCCTGTGGGCAGCAGTGTCCTCAGGAAGGACTTGGTCACGCCCAAGGGAACAAGGGAGGAGGGTGCCACGTACCAATGTTGTAGATCTCCGAACTGCCGAACCGCACTCCATTGGGGTTGAGTGTGCCGTCACTGGAACAGACAGGGTGGTGCACAGCAGGTTGTGGGGTGCTGTGGGGAGGCCGCCAGCCCTGGGCACAGCCCCCCTAGCACCCACAGCTCCAGGAAATGCGGACCGGGTCAGTCCCTCTCAGCAGGGAGCAGCCCACACTGCTACCGACCAAACAGGGGCAGCTGGGAAGCTTTCTCGGGGGGCTCCAGTCAGAGGGACACCAGGGACCTTGGTCACAGCAGAGGTGGAAAACCCCAGCCATCAGCCCGGAGGGCCCAGGCCACCTCTCGCCTCCCAGCCCCTCCCCAGCCATGCGAGAGCCCACCCCAGCCGTGCAGACCCTCACCTCCGGCCCAGCATGACAATGCCCCCAGTCTTTGGGTTGATTCTGCAGTAGTCACCATGGGCCCAGACACCTATGGGAGGGTGGGGAAGCCTGGTCACCGTGAGGGGCCGGAGGACAGCAGGCCACCTGTACGCGTGCAGCACGGAGGCTCCGACCAGCTGCCATATGGGTTGGGGGCCAATGGGAGCGGAAAGGAGCGAAGCAGCAGCGACCCTGTCGGCAGCTGCTGCCCAACTGGCTCGGACCCAGGCAGTCGGAGGAGCTGGGGAAGGAATTCCACTGGCAGGACCAGCCTCAGCAGACCCTGGAGGCCAGCAGAGCACCCAGCGGAGGGAAAGGCCAGCCAGGCCCAAGGACACTGAGCGTCTGGGGCAGCAGGGGACAGGGGTCAGGACTAAGCATGAACTCACACACTGTGACTGGGCAGGAAGCCACCGCCCCAGACCCAGCCACGCAGCTAGTTTGTGTGCAGCAAACATGGTGGCTTGCACCGTGAGAACCCCCATGTGGCCAACAGGCCATGCTACCACCCCGAACGCCAAGAGACCCAAGGGGACCAGACCCTAGCAGTGGGGTCCCTCTGCCTCTCCAACACAGCAAGGAACAAGCCTTCTTCACACCCGCCACTCAGATCCCAGGCAGCAGATGCCGCGGCGTGTGAGGGCGGCCAAGGGCGCACATGAACGGCCTGGCCTCCTCAGCCAGCCCACGCTGTGTGCTGTGGTGGCGTGGATGCCCCCTGCGGCCACTGCCACAGCAGCCTGCCTTCCCACCATCCAGGCAGGGGAAAATGCTGACTAAGGCAGCCTGCGTGGCAAGCTTCAGGAAGGCACCCTGCCCTCCCCTGCCCTCTCCCGTCCCTGTCTGTCCTCTGTTGCCGACTCAGCCTCCGGCCACAGCACCTCTCGGTGGCAAGGACAGCTTGGGGGACTCCACGAACCACAACCCTGACCACCCCCACCCGGCAGCTACTCCCACACCCTGACTACCACCACGACCAACATGCTGTGGAGACGAAGGCCGTGCCAGGCCCGTTCGGAATCCGTCTTCCTCAGTCATCTATTGAAATGTATTTATTCATATCACCCACCTACTCCCAGAAAATACCTGACGACATCATGGCAGGACTATTTAGAGTCACAAACCCTGATCCAAACCATTGCAAAAAAGCAACCATTTCAGCTCGGAGTCTCCTGGCAGCCATGAAAAAAAAACAGAAATGTGGCCTTGGGGCCTGTTCAACTCACACAGCTGAGGGTCTAGAGCGACCAGGTCTGCTTCCCACCAAGCTCTCTGCTGACACACACCGGGGGCAGCACTCAGGCCCCGCCTCCTACAGGGCAGACCCTGAGCGAGCCCTCGCCTCCTGCAGGGGAGACCCTGAGCCCCTGCCTCCTGCAGGGGGAGACCCTGACCGGGCCCCCGCCTCCTGCAGGGGAGACCCTAAGCCCCCTGCCTCCTGCAGGGCAGACCCTGACTGAGCCCCCGCCTCCTGCAGGGGAGACCCTGAGCGAGCCCTCGCCTCCTACAGGGCAGACCCTGAGCCCCCCCCTCCTACAGGGCAGACCCTGAGCGAGCCCTCGCCTCCTGCAGGGCAGACCCTGACCGGGCTCCTGCCTCCTACAGGGGAGACCCTGAGCCCCCGCCTCCTGCAGGGGAGACCCTGACCCCAGCTCCCAGCTCCTGGCTTCAGCCTGGCCCAGCCCTGGGTATGGTGAGCATTTGAGGAGTGAAGAGCAGATGGCTGGCCATCTCCATCTGTCCCTGTCTCCCAGTCTTTCTAACAAAACTAAAAATTTTTAATTGTTAAGTCCTTCAAAAAAAGCAAATACCTTTGTGGGAACTTGAAGGAAGTAAGTGCTTGGGGCAGAAGGCTCACAGGGTATGAACTGCCCACAGCTCGGACATGAGCTCGGCAGGAGCTGGGAGCCCCAACACGCCCCTGCTGGGGGGCGAGGCACCCGCGTCGGCAGGCATCCATCTGTGGGACAGGGACCCCGCTGCAAGATGCATGGGCAGACAGGAAGAAACGAGCCCAGCAGACGCCATCTGGATCCACCAGCTGCCCTCACCCAGCCAAACCTGGAGTTCAGCCCAGCTCCCAGCTAGGACCGCACCCAGCGCAGCCTGGGCCTTCCTGCACCATGGGACATGGCCATGGACGGAGACCTGGCAGGGGAGCTTCTGGTCTGCCAGGGCCTGTCGCAGAGGCCCCACCTGCGCCATGCCCTGTGACCTACCTGGGAACTTGGAGAAGTACGCCTTCCTGTACTTGCTCCCGTTCTCATCATTCCAGAAGTGCGTGGGCTGGCAGGGCAGCGGCTTCGTACACACCAGCTCCCCACTCCGTCCCCAGACTGCCCTTCCTGGGAGGCAGAGCACAGGCTGAACCCAGCAGGCCGGAGCACACGTCTCCGAGCCAGCACTCACGCCACGACACCCCAGTCCCCACTCCCCTCCCTGCGCTCTGGGCTTCGTTCCTGCCAACTATGACCCAGTATGCACTGCAGTTACCCAGCCCCAAGCAGTACACACACACCCCATAGCACACAGCTCCAGGTATGTGGCATTGTGCCCCGTGTGGCCCCAACATCTGAGTAATGTGGCCACACTCCCTCCCGCTGCTCTGGCCCACTCCCACTGCCCAGCCATTCTCTGAAAGGACCAGCTAGCCCACCCGTGGCAGCCATGTCCATGGCTCTGATGTTGCACCTATTACAAACACCTGGCTTGAATACCCTGGCTCTGTCAACCCTGCTCAGACGCCCAGGGCTTCTCCCAGGAACAGGGCCCCACCCACAGGAAACAGGCTTCTTCCTGGAGCGGCTGCATGGGTCTCTGGAACCCCAATCTAGCAGCCAAGTTTCTAGTCCGGGCACAGCGAGGGCCACAGGGGCCAACGGCGGGGGCAGAGGGCTCCCTTCCCAGCAGGGTCGAGCCAGTGGGCACCCTCTTCCTGCAATCCACTGCAGATGGCCCAGGCCCTGCCACCTGTGCTGTGTCATCTCAGGCAGGACACCAGGATCTGGGAGCAGGGTCTGCGCAGCTGAGAGCCAGGCACAGGCCTGGCACAGGCCCTGACCGGCTCAGATTTGGGGATGGGGAAGACCTGCAAGCAAATAGGCAAAGCACTTTTCCAAAACTAACGATCTCCTTCCAGCAAGGCCACTGGCACCGTCCTGGCACCACTGCTGCCAGCTTGGCCCCTGCCTGCGGAAGTAAGCACACCCTCCCCAAAAACTAAGTCTGTGAACATGTATAGCACACATCACACCAGGCCCTGTGTGGTGTTGACACAAACGGCCGGGGGTCACCCTGAGGGGCATGGTCTCCTTTCCTCTGAGGGTAGACCACCATCATGCAAGTGCTTCCGGGTGACCGTCCGCCCCAGGGAGAGCAGCAGGCAGTAAAGGCGTCACCTTCCTCACTCCACGCCTCCACGGCCATGGCCAGGTTCCGGGCCTGGATCTCGCCTCTGTGCACGGGGACGGACGGGTTGTGGCCCATGAAGCAGGAGATAATGTCAGTGCCACCTGCAAACAACGGCCAGAGGAGACTCGAGTTCAGACTCCAGAGGCAGGTACCAACCCCTCTGAGCGGCACTGCGGCTCTGGATCGGCGTCTCTGGTCCTGGCCTTCTGTCTGCCCTGCTGGCCAGCGGGAAAACAGAAACATCCTGGCTATGGGACAGACACCAGGAAAACAGCCCCGCTCCAGGGAGCAGCCCCACAGAGTCAGACGAAAGTGCCAAGCTGGGGGGCAGTGTGAGTGCCCAAACTGGACAGCTGTACCCTGGGCCACACAGGGCTGTCCATCTCCCAGCCACTAGTGCTCGGCACAGGGCGAGGAGGGGAGGGCAGAGGGCACCTTTCTGCCTCGGGATCCTGCCTGCCACTCCTCACACAGGTATGGACACCAGAAAACGTCTGTTTTAATGGAAACTTTTGTTGTTGTTGAATTCTGAAGATTTATTTTTATTGGAAAGTCAGACACATAGAGAGGAGGAGAGACAGAGAGGCTAGATTTTCATTCTGCTGAATCACTCCCCAGTGGAAACATTTTTTACTTCCTCACACTCTGCACAGGCGTGGAGGGGCCCCTCTCGGGTATGTGGGAACCCCAGGCCACCACAGTGCTCAGCCCAGTCAGCGGGGTTCAGCTGACGCTCGGTCTGCCCTGCCCAGCCCTGGTAAGTAACCCCAGCACCCGCTGCAGGGAGGGCTGGCCTGGGACCAGCTTGGAATCCCACCTGGAAGCTGTGAGCACCACTGGGTTTCACTGATTCTGCAAAGCGGCAGCCCCATCCCGGAGGACTTGGATGACGAGAGCAGCGAGCCGTGCGTGCTGCTCCCTGGAGCAAGGACCTGCCAATGCAGGGCTGCGGCCACCCCACAGGACATCACGCCTCAAGGACACACTGACCATGCACAAGTGCAGGGACCTGCAAGGCCAGACAGACTGCTCCCTGTGCTGGCGTCCCCAGTGGTCAGCAGGTGGCCCAGAGAGTTGCCCTCACGGTCCCCGCTGTCTCTGAGCCTTCTGTCACACTCAGATGCCCCGTCTGCCACCCCAGCACGTCGAGTGGGAGGCGCACCTGAAATGGAGCCCAGCAGGACGCTGCTCTTGATGCACTTGTAGACGTAGTCGTAGCTCTGGGCTTTCAGCGGGGAGCCGGTGGACAGGATGGTGCGCAGGGTCTGCAGGCTGTGGGTCTCCACTTGGGGGGAGTCATGGAGTCATGGGAGACTGAGCCACGCCCCAGCTGGGAACAGGCACACAGCCCCCCACCCAGAGAGGCACTCCATCTGGGACCTCGCACACCCTGGGAGCACGCACATGGTCCCCCCACCCAGAGAGGCACTCACCAGGCTTCATGTCCTTCTCCTCAAGCACAGACAGCCACTTGGCACCTGTCCCCAGAATGGTGATGCTGGAGGGGTGGTGGGAAAGGAAGCGTGACTGGCTCGAAGCCACACGGGCTGCACGCACCAAGGTGCCCAAGCTAGTGACGCACGGACCGGAGATTCGGGGCCGGAGGCGCAGTGTGCCCCATGGTGAACTGAGAGCCCACTTTCTTCACAGGCATGTGCCTATTCCTGCAGCTATCCTCACCCTGGCAGCACAGTGCCCAGGGCACAGGCCCCCAGACCCCCATTTGTCTATGCAGGAAGCCGCCATCTTCCCCTCCCCAGGAGGCCCTGCCTTCTGACCTCTGCACCTGCCGCAGCATGAAGGGGCCCAAGACAGACATGGATAGCCAGCCCTTCAGAGCACTCACTGCCCCTGGGGTGTCTTCCAAGTCTCTCCTGGGGTTCCAGGAGGCAGAACGTCAGGGTGCCTGCCCGTGGGGAGAGGACACTGGCACCAGGGCCTGAGGCTGTGTGCACAGAACACTGGAAATTCAGGGCCAGCAGGGCTGGGTGAGAGTGGCCAACCCCTTGGTGCCTACTGGCCCTCCACTCTCTCCAGTTCACCAGGACCAGCTGCCACCATGAAGCCAGGTCCACACCCACGGGCAGCTCCAGGGCCACTGTGCCCCAGACCAGAGAGCCCCATGCCAAACCTGCAGTGCCACGGAGCTGAGTGCGGTCTGACCCATTCCCAGGAGGTGGGTGAGGCTGACAGCAAGGTCCCGCCCCTTGGCTCTCCTCCCCCTGCCACTGGCAACCAGAGCAGCTCCACAAGGCCTGCTGTCTTTCCAAGAGCCCCTTGCCCCTACCATGCACACCTGCTATGCTGAATCGCAGGGCCAGCCCCGCCAGGCATGGGAAGGTCACATCCAGGGAGGCCCAGTGGGCAGCCAAGACTATACATTAGGGCGAGGACCCTGGCCGAAGAGGGGCTCACCTGCTCGGTATGTGTCCTGGCACCCAGGGCCATACACACATGCACAGAGGGGCATACACAGGCACACACATGCAGGTACTGGCTGCTGCACTCCCACACACACACTCTTTCTTCCACACTCTCCAGTGCACACCACACCGACAGCCCTAGGGACCAAGCTCCAATGGGGCAGTCTGCTTTCCACCTGCCTTCCCTGAACCCTCCCAGCTGACCTGACATACACACCCCAACGAGGTGTCTCCACCGACCTCCACCAGCCACGGGCCACAACCACGGGCCACAGCTATGGACCCCAGCCATGGGCCACAGCCACAGCCAACCCAGTCACAGGCCACAGCCACAAGCCCTGCACGGATGCACCTGCATGTTCAGGCTCCACTTCACTCCTGAGCAGGCAGAACCCCAAAACCAATTTTCTTTCCACACTGGCCCTCGGCTCCCCACATGGACTTCCAGGCAGGCCCTGGCCTCCACAGACACAGACATGCATGCACAGACGGGGCGCTGCAGGGGACAGTGCCCAAGGTTGGGCTGGCTCAGCACCAAGCTTCTCCTTCCAAAGTCTGGCAATCTCAAGCCACGTCCGCCTCGGACCTCCGGTGCCAGGCCACGTCCGCCCGCCCCGGCCCTCCAGCGCCAGGCCACGTCCGCCCACCCCAGCCCTCCAGCGCCAGGCCACGTCTGCCTGCTCTATGGTAGCTTACTTCTGAGGCCAGCCTGCAGTGACCACTTCACACAGTTTTCACTATAATGTTAAAAGAAATAAGTGCAGGTACGAATCTGGACTAGCAGCCCCACATGTTCCATGTCGGGGGCCTGGGTTGCAGTGGCGCCAGCTTCCTGCCAGCATGTCCCCCAGATGGCTTCAGGGGATGGCTCAAGGGCCTGGATTCCCATCCCCACTCCACTCACAGGGGTCCTGGCCTCTCAAGTGGTCCCTAGGGATGGCACCCACCGCATCCCCACCTCAGACAACCTCAATTCTGCCTCTAGCCCTGCCCACACCCTGTCTCTCCTCCCCAAGCAGGGACACAGTGAAGAGCAAAGCACTGCACACCAGCAGCTGGCAGCTCCTGGCTACTGCAAAGCGCCTACCTGACAGCTGAGTGTGTTGGCAGGTACCTACCCTATCCTGTCCACCAGGTCCCAGAGCACATTGGGAGTTGGGACCAGGGGGGACCCGTCATAAAGGACCAGAGAGGCCCCCGTGGCGAGAGCAGACACCATCCAGTTCCACATCATCCAGCCCACCTGTAACAGAGGGGGCAGCTCAGCCGGAGCGCAGGGGGTCACCGTCCACCCCGGGCAGAGGGGGCAGCTCAGCCGGAGCGCAGGGGGTCACCGTCCACCCCGGGCAGAGGGGGCAGCTCAGCCGGAGCTGCAGGGGCAGCCACCACCCACACCAGGCGACAGGGTCCGAGCTAAGGGGCGGCACCACCATCCCGGGCGCCAGGAGACCAAGCTAAGGGGGTCACCGTCCTCCCAGCCTGGACACACACACTCTGCCCCAGCAGCACCAGGGCAGAAGACACATGTGGTAAGGCCATGTCACAGGATGTCTGCTATGGCCTTGCTGAGGACAAGAATCAGAACAAGGCAGACACCATAAACGTGGAAAGGGTCATACTGGGTGCCCACATGCCAATGACACCACACACATGTGGTACCCGCATGAAGCACACACACACGGTACCCACACCATCAGCACGACACGCACACGCCATCCACCCCACAAAATAACGCAGGTGCTATGGACACCATGCACTTGGGGAGCAATCCCCATGACACTGCCCTGGCAGCCAGCGGTGAGCCCACAGCTTCTGCAGCGTGTGCTGACAGGGGCTGAGCACAGGGCTCACACCGAGTGCGACAGGGCAGCACCACGCCACCCGCCTTCCCGAAGGGCAGACAGTGGACACGCGCACGCCTGCCCTCCCAACGGCCCCTGGGAGGCACAAGCCTTCCCCACACAGCCTGCCAACACAGCCTGAAATCCTCACCATATGCAAGTTCATTTAAACTTTAATTTTAATTTAATTTTTTTTAATTTAAATGTTTTTGAAAACTAAAAAGGTGGTACCACCCACTGACAACCATGCCATCTCCCCAGAGAGAGCCTGTGGGTGGTTCTAGAACAAGCAAAGGCGCTGGGACAGGGCCAGGAGGCAGCACCCACAGGAACCTGCCCCAGGGCCGGGGGGCAAGGAGGTACACACACAACTCATATACACACACATTCATAAACTCACACAGCCACACACACACAATCACACACACTCATCAATCTCACCCACGCCACACACACACACTCATCAATCTCACCCACGCCACACACACACACTCTCGCACAGTCTCACACACACCCCAGGGTTGAAGCAGGCAGCCAGGACGTCCTGGGCGTCACCCCACCCCTGGGGTCAGACCCTCGGCCACGCAGGAGGTGCCCCATGCAGCGCCCACGTGCTGCTCGGCCACGCGCTGCCCGGCCCGCAGAGGCCCGCGCCCTTCGCGTACTCACCGTGGTGTAGTAGAGCAGCACGTCCCCGCTCGTCATGTCGCCGTGCAGCACGTGCTCCTTCAGGTGCTGGATGAGGGTGCCCTGAGGGGCACACATGCCAAGGACACCTCGTGAGGTGCAGGGGCACGCGCAGTGCCAGGATGAGCCCCCACAAACCCTTCCCAGGGGCCATGGTCACTCTGCCACCTTATTCCAGCATCACCCCCAACTGTGAAAGGAGAACCCAGACCCAGAGCCCTCAGGGACCCACCCCAAGGCAGGAATAGGTGACCCTTCCTGCGGGACAGCCCCAGCCAAAGGACAGAGCAGGGCTGGGCCAGTCTCGTCCCAGCCTCCGGCTCCCCCTGGTGGCAGACAGGGAAAGGTGCAGTGGCCCAGTGCTCACCTGCAAACCTGGGGTTAGAACTCGGGAACCTTAGCCAGTGGGACCACACCCGAGCCGTGCCCCCTCCCACAAGCACCACTTGACAGGCAAGCCTGTGCAGGGGTTGCGAGCTCCAAAGTGCAGGCACCCCAACCTGGAGGCAGCCAATGTCACAGGCTCTGTGTGAGTGCCCAGTCTACGGCCTGCCTGTACCAACAGACGTGTACCAATGCTGAGTGCTCAGCCAGCCTGCTGTCCCTGGACCCAAGCTCTCCCTCGGCCCAGCAAGCACCCTTAAGAGTTTTCTGGCACCCAGAGTCCTCTGTCTGTGCCAGGATAGCAGGGAGGAAAGGCGTCTCACCATCACCACAGAGCCAGTACTATGCCAGTCAGCCTGTGCCCACAGCCCAACCCCACCCCACAGCCTGGGGACACCACCCTGCAGTGCACTCCACAGGTGCAAGCAGCTGGTTCAAGGCCACCAGCCACCTGGTGGTTCAGACTCTCACGGCTGGTGCAACGACCCATGTGCCAGACGGCCTGTGTGACCCTCGCCACCACCGAAACAGTTTCCCGAGAAGCCAGGAGGAAATGACCCTTTGAAGAGCTCCAACTCGCAGCCACCTAATGCCATGCGATGTCCCCATACACTGCCCAGGTGGGCGGGCAGCAGGCGCCACAGGGCAAACACTGGTTCCGGGGGCCCTTGCGCCAGTGGCAGGGAGGCTTGACCACCCTGTCCTCAGGCAGGCTGGGTGCCAGCACTTCGGAAATGCCTTTGATGGCCACAGGATCATGTTTCCACTTAAAGGGGAAGAGTGATCAATTCCAAGGCCAGCTGTGCGGGAGAGCCGTAATCCTCTCCCACAGAAGCTAGTGTGTGAATGTGCGCCTGTGTAAGCAGAGACACAGCCCCCATCCACTGCCAGGCCTCGACCAGGCGGAAGCTGATGCCAACAACTCCAGCCAGTCACACGGGACCACTGCCTCCAGGGTCCACATCCACAGGGAGCTGCAGCAAGGAGTCAGAGCCGGCAGTCCAATCCCAACATGCCAGAGCCTCAGCCACAAAGCACAGGGCCTGCCCCAGGAAGCAAGCTATAAATTAAAACTGGATCCTTGCCGGCCAGGACCCACACCGAGCCAGGGCAGAGACAGGACGGAAGTCAGCTGTGATGGGGTGACTGGAAGGGGGGCCTGCCCCCCCGGGGGCTCCTGCTGCGTTCATGGCCTAGCACATCCGAGGCACTGAGGGCAGCCTCACCGCCCTTGCGTCCCAAGGTCTCCAACCAGGCCTGACAGCAGGACACGACGGCCCTCACGCATGGGCCCCTGCAGCCCCATGGAGACCCCAGTGGACCCCCAGCTGCAGCCTGGCCCAAAACCGGCCGCAGTGGCCACTGGAAGCACACTCTGCACTCTGCCTTTGGAAAACCAATAAATCCCTAAGAAATAAAACAAATACCAGCGATGCAGCCGTAGTCTGCCGAATGCACGCTCTGGGTCTAAGCAGCAGACCAAAGCAAAGGGAGCCGTCTTAGGAGGCTGGGGGGCAGGACTCTGAAAGTGCACAGTGGGGGGGTGCGTGGCACAGCAGGTACCCACGTGCCCTGCCACAATGCCCAGGCTCAAGGCGCATATCTACTTCCTGTCAGGACACACCCTGTGAGCAGATGGTAGCTCAGGTGCTCAGGCCCCTGCGACCCAGGGGAGACCTGGGTGGGCTTCCTGGCTTCTGTCCTCAGCCGGGCTCACCCCAGCTGATCCAGCCATTTGGGAAACACAAAAGCTGACGAAGAGCCCCCTCTGCATAGCTTTTGGTCTGTATCTCTCTGCCTTCCAAATAAAAACAAATACTTTCTTTAGAAAATATAGTGGGGGCCCGGCGCGGTGGCGCAAGTGGTTAAAGGTCCTCGCCTTGCACACCCGGGATCCCATATGGGCGCCAGTTCTAATCCCGGCAGCCCCGCTTCCCTTCCAGCTCCCTGCTTGTGGCCTGGGAAAGCAGTCGAGGACGGCCCAAAGCTTTGGGAACCTGCACCTTGTGGGAGACTCAAAAGAGGCTCCTGGCTTCGGATCGGCATAGTATCGGCCCGTTGCGCTCACTTGGGGAGTGAATCATCGGACGGAAGATCTTCCTCTCTGTCTCTCTTCTCTGTATATCTGCCTTTCCAATGAAAAAATAATAAAAATAAATCTTTAAAAAAAAAAAGAAAGAAAGAAAATATAGTGTCGGGTCCAGCACAGTAGCCTAGTGGCTGAAGGTGCTAGGATCCCATATGAGCACCGGTTCGGGTCCCAGTTGCTCTATTTCCCATCCAGCTCCCTGCCTGTGGCCTGGGAAAGCAGTGGAGGACGGTCCAAAGCCTTGGGACCCTGCACCCGCCTGGGAGACCTGGAAGAGGCTCCTGATCGGCTCAGCTCCAGCCGTCGAGGCCGCTTGGGGAGTGAATGAGCAAATGGAAGATCTTTCTGTCTCCTCCTCTCTGCAAATCTGACTTTCCAAAAACAAAACTCAGCATCAGGAAGGGTAGGTGGCAGAAGGGTACAACAGCTGACAGCGGCCTGGGCCCCGGGGGACGGCCACACGGGCACTGCTGGGGACCTTCAGGTTGAGACCAGCTGGGCATCAACTCACTCTCCGCGGGTCAATGGCGTGTGTCCCAGGGAAGAGAACGGGAAGGTAGAAGCAGCATGAAGAAAGTGTGGCATTCGTGCAAGGAGCCAGCTCCGGGGGCCAGAGCTTACAGCCTTTCTGCCAGTCTTACCAGCACTGATCCTGTGCCCACTGCTGCCTACTGTGAAGACCTGAGCGAACAAGGTCCAGTCCCCAACCAGTGCCCCCACAGGAAGCGAGGCTAGAACCTGTTGCAAAGCCGGCAGACCTTGTCACTGTTCTCCATCTCCGTGCCAACCAGCCTGTGGGCCAAGCGCACGTGGTCCCGGGTCACCTGTGCACGCCCACACCCCCCACAGCAACGGGGGCGCAGGTATCTGATGAGGGGCTGCGGGCACCACGCTCCACAGCACCCCGGGCCATGCCCATGCAGGGCTCTCCGGCTCAACCTCTGCCTTGGTCACAGCAACCTCAGATAGGAGAGTGGTCCCCTGCACCCCTGCTCCCTGCCCACGCACCCCGCAGCACGCACCGCGCTCAGGACACCCCGAGGGGTGAAAGGTCCACACGGAGCCTGCACCCAGCTCACCTCCCTACCCCACACCCGATCGACAGAAGCCGCACTGCACTCAGGCTGGGAACGGCATGACAAGCCAGCTGCCACGTGTCCCCACCTGGACTTACCCCAGCAGAGTGCACCATGCACTTGGGTGCCCCGGTCGTGCCTGACGAGAACATAATGAATAGGGGGTGGCTGAAGGGCAGCTGCTCGAACTCCAGCTGGGGGGCTTGCTCGCCCATCCCTGTGGCCAGGAAGTCATCCAGAAACACACTGCGGACAAGTGTGGGGTGGGAGGTAAGCGGCTGGAAGCTCTGCCACGCTCTCGTGGCCGCCACAGCAGCTGGGGCCGGGGGACAGTGCTGAGGGCCACCCAGCCATCGAGCAGCCACCGTGGAGGAGCCCTCCTCAGCCCCGCCCCCGCCTGGCCTGCTGCCCACACCTGACCACCCAAAGGGAAGCCTCAGCCAGGTGGGCCTGTGTCACAACATTCCCCGCAAGGGGTGAGGGGTCCCTGCGTCGTCCCAGCCTCAAACACAAACACGGCCCATCCAGCCTCCGCCACTCGGGACATTCTCTCTCGAGGCAGGGGCCACAGTCCACTTCCTGGGACATCGGGAGTAACTGCTCTGAGCCCACAGCCCCTCCCCTGAACGCACGGCCTGCCAGGGCTACCACGTCCACCTGCTCTGCAAACGGTGCTTCTCTGAGGCCAGACACTTCACACTTCCACTCAAGTGGTCTCAGAGCCATGCAAACAGCGGTGACTCCTGAGGTAGCCGGGCAGTGGCCTGGGGTCAGACGCTGAGCCTGTGGCACCACAGCAGGCTGAGCGAAGCGGCCGCTGGTACCCTGCCGGATGCTCTCTTTGGGTACCAATCCCTGACCAACACATTCGGGAAGAGGCAGCAGGCCAGGGGGGCTGCCGGCCTCTCAGGGGAGCCAGCAGCAAGTGCACCAAGGAAAAGCACTCAGTGGGCACACTGTCCAACAGGACTGTTGACGCCAATCTAGGGAGCCAGGCTTGGCCCCTCCCAAACCTGCCCGAACTCCAGGCCACAGAGGGCGGGCCCTGGGACTGTGCCTGTTCTGCCATCGCTGGCATGGGGGTGGAGAGGGGACCCGCCCTGCAAGCAACCAGTGCCCCGTCTACCAAATGTCAGCTTTCCTACAGCTTTCCCCGCACTCTTCTGGCAGCGGGCAGCAGCCTGGTACCTGTTTGGAATCTTGGAGATGTCGATCGTCTCTCTGGTGGCCACGTAGGGGATCACCACCACCTTCTTCAGGTCGGGAAGCCCTGGGAGGAGAGGAGAAAACTCGAGGTCGCAAGACAGACATGCGGCTGCCGACGGCTGTGGCCTCAGGGCCGGCCACCGGGGTCCGCACTGGCCGCTTCCGAGGGCCCTGGGCTCCCGCACTGCTGTCACCGCCACACACCGCCAGGGACGGCCACACACCTCGAACCACCCGCTGCAGCTTCTCCATGTGGCTGTGCTCCTTGCCATTGTAGACAACGGCCTCCACGGAGAACAAGAGCTTCGGCTGGATCTGCGAGAACCGGTCCAGCACGCCCTGAAAGCAGGAAGCGGGACTCACCACGGCATGCCCGGCCCTCAGGACACCCAGCCGCCGACGGCAGAGGCCCCAACCAGGGGCGCCCTGCGTCCTAGCAGAAAACCCATGGTGACATGCCCAGAAGGCATCAACTTCAGGGAACACCCAGGAGGTCGTACAGGCATGGCCTGCCACACAAACCCACTCACCCCAGCCAGACTGGCTACCTCACGGAGGAACCCCGTCTCCTGCAGCTGTGGTCATTCCCAGCCTGGGTTCCCCGGCCCCTTCAGCTGAAGAGGAGCCCGAGCCCTCGTCCCACATGGCACCCTGTGCCCACTGCAGCACCCCCTGCTCGTTCTGCACGCAGGCTCTTCCCTCCCGCCCAGGGCATCCCTTTCCTAAACTCCACCCATGAGGGCCAGACTTGCGCCTGAGTGGCTGCAACAGACAGGCACTGCCTCGGCCGGTAACACCCATGGGTACTCCCTGGTGTCCGTCTGCAGGCGACAGCACTCAAACGCCTGTGCTCAGACCCACTCCCTAAAGCTAGGGAAGAAGTGGGCGTCTGTGTCCACCCGAAGTTCCTGGTGCTAGCAGACAGACTCTCACAAGCTTGAATCGGAGTGGACAGGCCCCTGTTTGCTCCCAGCGCTCAGGGATCTGCTCTGATGGGCCAGCAACAGAGTGGAAGAAGTGCTGCAGCCAGCCGCGGCCACAGCAGATCACAGCGACCTGTTTCCAGGCCTGTGGTTCCTGGGAACACCCTCCCTACTGACCACACTGCAACCCCAAGCCAGCTGCACAGCCACCAAGGACCCTGGGGACTACAGAGGCCACCTCCAACTACTGGCCCTGTTCAGAAACCAGAGGACACTGAGGACAAGTAACTGACCCTGGGGCACACGACCAGCAGGGCCAGGCCAGCCCAGCCCAGCCAGCAGGCATCACAGACTCATGTCTGGGCAGAGTCTGACTCAGAACTAGAAAATTCAGCAGCCAAGGGAGTGGGAGGCAGGGCCAGCTGTGCCCCAGCAGGGTTGTCCTTGCTCTAGGATGCCCCCAAGGCTCCGCCCATGGCCGGGGAGGAAAACCAGAGGGCCCTGTTGCTTCTGTGTCCACCTTATAACAGAGCCCTGGGGCTGGATGCCACGCAGGCGTCCAGTCATGCCTCCCACTGTCTGGGCTGCCCTGAGCCGCTGGACGCATCCATGGGGGGGGAAGTGGTTGCTCCAGGACAAACAGCGCATGCTAAGGCATCAAGACCACCAGACTGGATCGCTCTACCTCCCGGGACCATGCATCACGAACCAGAACACAGGAGCCCATTGTGACCTCACTTCCTGCTCCACCTCCCGGGACCATGTATCACGAACCAGAACACAGGAGCCCATCGTGACCTCACTTCCTGTTCCACCTGGCCCACCGTGACACCCCCTAGACCTGGCTGCACCCCAGGATGGGCCCCAACTCACGTTCACCCCAAAGTCTGGGGACGTGGAGCTCCAGATGGCTCCAATGCTTGCTGCAGCCAGCATGGCCTCCACAGCGTGTGCGCCGTTGGGCAAATAACCTGCGGAGGAACACAGGGAATGTGGGCGAGCGTGCTCCCACACCACGTGCACAGGCCGGGGCTCCAGGTGCACAGGAACACCGGTCACACCCCCGCCCACCCTGGTCCTGCCTCTTACGCTCGGTGTAGCAGGCCCTAACCCAAGCGGGACCCACCGCCTGGTGATGGGCATTTGGCCAGCGACCCACCCTACTCCCAAAGCACCACATGCCCAACCTGCGTGGGTGGCGGGGGAACAACTTCACAGCTGGGCCTTCCAACTCCCACCTGATGCCTCCCCGGCCCCGGGGACTGTGGCCAGGTGGAGCCACATCCTGCCACCATACCCTGGAGTGGCTGCAGCTTTCAAACTCTCAAGCTGCAGCTCCGCTCCAGCTTGTCACCAACAAAGGCCCCAGGAGCAGCAGCGACAGCTCAGGTAGCTGGGGTGCCGTCACCCACAGCAGAACCAGGCCGAGTCCTGGGCCAAGCCACAGGCCCCTGTAGGCATCGGGGCTGGGGACCAGTGCACGGGACGAGCACTCCCCTGGGTGGCCACCCTCAGGGAGAGCTGGAAACAAGGTGTTCTTAGTTAGAAATCGCCTTGCTCCACCGGGAACCGGGGCAGGCTGGGCACAGGCCCCACCCCACCACGGGCAGGCCCCTGCTCCCTGCTTCCCACCTGCCCCTTACTCTATGGTCCAAGGGTGATGGTGGGGGCGCAGCACAGGGCAAGGTGGGCAAGGCCCCCAGGATCAGGTTCTGTCTGTCCCCGTCCTCCCCTCAGGGTTGCCGGGCCCCGTGGACTGCTGCCTCCCGCAGGACACCTGGCCTCGCTACAGGCTGCATCAGTGCCAGGACCACATTTTCCTCCAGGCCAGGGCAAAGTCCTCACTGCGCCTCTGCCAATGCACCCGGCTGGCACTGACTACACCCCTCAGTGTAGTTCCCCTTAGTCGTGGAACCGTTTCACGCTCAGGACAGTGTGGGCATAAAGCACGTCAAGGCACCGCGGACCAGGGCGCTCTTGCCGCATGAACAAGGCTGTGTGCACTCTGCGCTACCCCGGCTCACCCCAAATCACCCACCCCCGCCACCCCGCTGCCGTCTCGCCCCCGCTCCTGCCACCAGCCCAGAGGACACCTACCGACCACACGGTCTCCCTTCCTCACGCCCATCTTCCTCATGGCGGCTGCAAACAGAGCCACCTGCTGCCGCAGCTCCTCAAAGGTCACCTTCACGATCTCCTCTCTGCCTTCCCCTGCGGACAGCGAAGGGCAGGTAGGCCTGGTCACCAGCAGGACAGACAAGACCAAGCTGTGTCAACCAGGCTCTGAGTGCAGGCCTGGGCCACGGCAAGGCCATGGCGATACTCTCCCGGGAGAGGAAGGTCCCTGGGAGCCGGGAGAACATCCCGGGCAGACGACCATCGGGAGGGTATTTCACACACACAGGCGCTCCAGGACATGACGGCAGCACACGGCAGGCTGCAACGACAGAACAGCGCAGCCCCTGGGCCCCTCCACACTCCCTGCGTGGTCACACGGCCTAACTGCCACACAGGTCCAAGCCGGGAGACCAGCGCAGGCACGCGGTCCTGGGCATGGCTTTGCACCATCTACAGCCACAGTCCAGGTGAAGGGCAGCTCCAGACACACAAAGGACCTTGCCGCTCACAGACAGAGAGACAGACACGTGCGCACACACACGTACACCAGAGGTGCAGCACACACAGACACACACATGCACACAGAGACACGGACGCACACATGGACCAACGCTCACACAAGTGAACCTGTCTGTAAAGCCCCTGCGAGCTTGCCGTGTGAATGCAGCCCCACAGCAGGAGCTTTTCCATTTGGTGCAAAGCCCTTGAATCATGTAATTTTTACATGTATCACTAATTTGCCGATTTATTCCTGAGTGGCTGAAAGGCAGCTAGGGACGTGGACACAACTTCACCGAGCGTACGCCAGGGTCGCCGCAGGTACGAGGTTCTCCCCGCAAGTCCATGCAAGAAACCTAAGGGGGCTGCTACCTCCTTTCCACAGAGAGGTCGAGCAACTCACCCCCGTCACACAGCAACGGCATGAGGGATGGGACCCGAGCCCCAATCCTTTCACACTCACTTGCCCCCAAAAAGCACAAACGTCAACCATCACACAGACTGCCAGCCCAGCTCCAGCCGTTGTAGCCATCTGAGAAATGAACCAGCAGATGGAAAAGCTCTGACTCTCCCTCTTTCTGTAATTCTGCCTTTCAAATAAAAAAAATAAACACATCTTTTTTTAAAAGTGTAACGACACACTGGCATCGCGACACAGCATGTCAAGCTGCCATCACTGGCATCCCCTATCAGGACACTACCCGCTCCAACCCAACTCCCTGCCGACGCGCCTGGGAAAGCAGCTCATGATGGGCCAAGTGCCTGCGCCCTCACTCACATGGCAGACCCCGCTGGAGTGCCAGTCCCAGCACTGTCTGTCCCTGCCAGCTGATGGGGGCCTGTGAGAGTGAACCAACAGCTCAGTACTGCGTGTGGAGGTGTGCGGGTGTGGGGGTGGCTGGGAGTGCCAACACAGAAGGTTCCACATCTCCACCTGAATGGATCTCTGCAGGACAGGAGAAAACCCTCCATGGCCAAGGTATACCCAGGTCTGCCACTCAGACAAAACCCTGGCCACTTAGCTCACTTTGGGAGATGCCTCAAACACCGTGCCACACCAAGCCAATGTCACTTAATACTGCTTCTGTTTAATAAACCTTCAGCTTTACAAAAACCCATTTAATCAGGGAGCCAACAACCCTAGCTCATTACCAGGAAAACCCCCAGCGTATTTCAACACTTCATTGATGTCAATTCTTCTGCAGCTTGCTTACGACAGGGCAGGCCGTGTGGCACAGCCAGTTGAGGTGCTGTCTGCAAGCCTGGCACGCCATCGGAGTGCTGGCCCCTGCCGCTGTGCCTGGGAAAGCAGCAGAGCAGCTCCAAGGGCTTGGGTCCCTCCGTCCACACAGGGAGCTCCAGGCTCCTAGATTCAGTCTAGCCATGCCGGGGCCCATGTGGCAATATGGAGAATGAACCACAGACGGAAAATCTCCCTACCTCTCTAACTCTGTCTTTCAAATAAATAAATAAACATTTAAACAGAAAAAACTGCTAAAAACTTAAATTGGATAGTCCTTTAAGAATTATATATACTGGGCCTGGAGTGGCAGCCTCGCGGCTGAAGTCCTCGCCTTGCACGTGCCAGGATCGTATATGGTGTTGGTTCATATACTGGCGACCTTGCTTCCCACTCAGCTCTCAGCTTGTGGCCTGGGAAAGCAGTTAAGGAGACCCAAACCCTTGGGACCCTGCACCCGCATGGGAGACCCAGAAGAGACTCCTGGCTCCTGGCTTCGGATTGGCTCAGCTCCGGCCATTGTGGCCGCTTGAAGAGTGAATCATCGGACGCAAGATCTTCCTCTATGTCTCTCTTTCTCCCTGTATATCTGACGTCCCAATAAAAATAAATCTTAAAAAAAAAAAAAAAAAGAATATATATCTTGTTTGAGAGGCAGCCAAGCAACACAGTGGCTCGCCCCGAACGCCCACAGGGCACGGGCTCCGTCCAGCTCTCCCGCCCGGGTGCAAGGGCCCGGGCACTCGGCTGCCTCCCAGGAACACCAGCAGGAAGTCAGACGGGAAGGAGTAGCCGGGACTCCACCCAATCACTGCATCGGGGTGAAGGCATCCCGCTTACTGCGCAGCAGAGCCACGTCCCTCCCCGGCTCATTCTTCAAGCTTGTTTATTTCTTTAAGATCTATTCTTTCTGGAAAGGCAGATTTATGGGAGAGAGACAGGAAGATCTTCATTCACAGGTTCACTCTGCAATGGCCGGAGCGGAGTCGATCCAAATCCAGGAGCCCGGAGTTCCTCCGAGTCTCCCACACAGGTGCAGGGGCCCAAGGCTTTGCGCTGTCTGCTTCTGCTTTTTCAGGCCACAGGCAGAGAGAAGTGGAGCAGTCAGGACAGAAAATGGCCCATGGGGTTTCAGTGCTCGATGGGGAAGGATTAGCCGATTGAGCTGTTGAACCAAGCTCCGCAAGCTTTATTCCAAGAGAAGCCAAGGACCTCTGCGGTGCCACAAGTTAAGCTAACACTGGCGACGCCAGCATCCCAGGAGGGCCAGTTCGAGTCCCGGCTGCTCCACTTCCGAGCCAGCTCCATGCTAATGCTCCTGGGAAAGCAGAAACAGATGGCATGAGTTCTGGAGGCCGCGCCACCCACGTGAGAGGCCACGTCAGGCTCCTGGATCGGACAGGGAGCAGTCTGGGACACTGTCTCCATTTCCATAGTGAACCACCAGATGAAAGATTTCTCTCCTGTGTAACTCTTTCAAGTAAGAAAATGTTCAAGAAAAAAAAAAAAAGAAAGAAAATGAAAAAAGCAGCAAACAAGAAGTCAGTGAGAGACCGTGGCCGTAATCAGAGTTCCTTCACAACTTTCCAAGGCGCTCACAGCGAGGGCCCACAGACACAGGGCACCAGGCCAGGGCACCAGGGCACCAGGGCACCAGGCCTGCATCCGGGGCCTCTCCAGACAACACCGCCTGCCCCCAAAGGCCCCGGAGGAGCCACGGGCCAGAACTCACTTGCCACGTAGAGAGCCACCCTGTCATTCTTGGCATGCCGCAGCAGGTTCTCCGCATAGTTGAGGCGACTGCCGCGGAACCACTCCGGGACATCAGCGATGCCTTTTGACGTGTCCACAACCTAGAGGGCGACAGCAGACCCAGCCCTGACGTGGCCGTGACACGGGCTGCACCAGCTGAGCCGCTGGTCCAAGGCCGCGTTAACTCATCCTCCATGCTGACCCTGAAAACACCCTGAAGGCTTGAACCCCAACATGGAAATTCACACATCCTGGGCAGCCTCCCCTTTCAACCAATGTTCATGGAGCACCAGATTCCACAGTCAGCGGGGCCAGCAAGCGGCAGGAGGCAGAGCCCAGACCCTCTCTGTCCTCCTCGGCGAGCTGGCCAACGCACAGTGGCTCAATCTTCCAGAATGGCTTGCCCCCAAAGGACAACAGGAAGGCACAGGGGTTGGAATTCGGGAGTCCTTCCCCCACCCCAGTATTTACCAGTTAGCAGGTAAGAAATGAACAGCACTCCGGACTCCAGGCAGCTTTCAAAACTGCAGCCAACTAAAGGTACTGAAAACCACCAGGCCACGCATGAAGTGCTTTAAGCGGCAAAGCACATGCGCTGTGCATTTACCGCAGCCTAACACTTCTCAGAACCCCACTCTACTGCTGAGGGTCAGCCAAGCTCTGGGACAGGGCCCGAGCAGGCGAGAGGCAGGGAAGGGGGTGCGTGGCCAGGTGGCATCCATGAGGTGAGGGAGTGGGCTTCAGCATCCTCCTAAGGAACTACTCCACTGTGCCAAGTGACCTTCACAGCGACCCTGGCCAGGTGCCACTCACCTCATCATACATACGGGAGAAGACGAGGCCGCTGAACTTCCAGAACTCTGCCCAGAAGTCCGAATACGACGCCACGGACCAGTGATACAGGTCGTTGTAACTCTCTGCAAAGGAGACAAGAGGTGCAGTCACCCAGGAGGACAGGTGTGGCAGGCTTGCTCAGAAGGGACTGCGGACCCAAATGCCCCGTGGCCCAGGGAGGAGCCAGCTCAGCTGGGCGGAGGTTCCCCAGGACCGCGTGTTCCCACAGGCAGTCCAGGCACCATCTGAGTCTTCAACCGTGGCTCAAGCCGCTGCTAACCAATCGACCTCAGGCAGGTTCCCCAGGCTGTCCACCACCCTCGTGACACAGGCTGACAGATAGGTGCCCCCTTCAGAGGGCTGCCAGGAGAGCTCAGTGAGCTGAGCACAGGGCTGGGACATGATGGGGCTGCGCCCTGTAGGCCCAGGCAGTCTGAGGCCACAGGCTGGAGACCAGTGGCCTGTGCTGGACTGCCCACTGGACGGCCCGCGTCACACCGCAGTGGGGGAAGGCTAGGCAGAGTTATTCACTTTGATCTTGAAGTAAGGAAGACATCTGTATGTTTCAAGATCACAAACGTACAAAGGTTCTATGGCAAAAAGCACCCCTCCTCTTGCCCAGAGCATCTCCAGGCCGGAATTACAGACACTCCTGCGTCTCCGGAAGTCCTCAGCTGTGTCAGTGTCCACCACCCTCTCCCACAGGAAGCACAGCACGTGGCGCACAGCAGGCCCAGCCCAGGAACCTCACACACGTCTCCTGGCCCATCTGATGCCTCCAAGCAGGACACCCATCCACACACACTCCCAAAGGCCAAACAACAGCTGGCTCCAGGGCCCCGCCTCCTGGGCTCACCAGGACAACCTTCCAAACACCACGGCTTCACTCTCCTGGCTGACAGAGCTCGGGGGCTCTGTGTCTCTGATTTTCCCACAAACAGCAGCCTGCTTTATGTGCTCGTCTCTTTCTTCTTTCGCTCAATGTTCGCTGGAGATCTTGCCCCATCAAAGTCTGAAAACCTGCCTCGCTCTTTTTAGTGGCTGTATAATACTCCAGTGAAGCTGAACTACAGCACATCCAGCCACGTTCCTAGCCAAAGCAGTGCCACGTGCTTTGCTCCCGAGCCACAGCCCTGGGGTCGAGCCAGGATGGCAGAGGCTGGCAGCAGTAGGGAGGCACCGTGGAGCACAAAGGCTGAGCTGACCCCCTCGCTGCCAGCCATCAACTGCACCGTCCTTGCTGGTCCAGGCACTGTTCAGTCCATGACCCTCCCCTCCCTGCTGTCCCCTCTAGCCTTGGCCATGCTGGGCTCAGGAGCAGGAGAGCGGCTGTCAGGGCTGGGGCCAAAGAGGGCATGGGCCAGCCCCGGCACTGGCGCAGGGTGTGGGCCCTGGGAGGATGCAACAGCTGAGGCCCAGAGAGCGAGCGGGAGGGAGCAGGTGCAATGGGAGTCGGTACAGAGGTCAGAGCCGAGATCGGGGACAGGCTGCAGAGCCTGGAGCCCCACGAACCAGCTGGGTTAGGGTTAGGTTCAGGGCGGAGTGCCATACCTCCCCCAGCCATTCCCCAGGGCCCACAGCTGTCTGAACACACAGCGATGGTGGGGCTGGGAACCTGGGCCAGCTCAGCCAGCCTTTCTAGCACTCAGTTTCCTACTGGACTACTCCTGCAGCAGTGGAGTGGCTGACCCCGAGAGGAGCCACCCTCCAGCTGCCAGGCCCCACAGTCCCACAGTACTCGTCTCCTCTCTCCCAGCCTTGTCTTAAAAACCACGTTCCTCCCAAACAGCATCACTGCAGCGACAGAACCCAGTCCAGACACTGCCCCAGCAGCTCAGGAAGGCACGGGTACACGGAAGACCAGCCCTGACTGTTAACTCCAGCTTCTGCCTCATCGTCCTCTGGGCTCCCCTTCCTCCTGCTGACCCACCTGCACCTGCGAATCCCAGCTGTCTCAGTCGGCAACCACCCTGTTTTAAAGACGGATGCAGAAGGCAGGAGCAGAAAGCTCCATCCAGGCCTCCTCTGGCCAAGACTCTGCCTCCCCTCGAGCCAGGGCTTCGCAGTGAGCCAAGGACACGGATCCAATCTGCCGTGCTCCTGGGACTCGTGGTGCTGACAGCCCCTCTGTGCCCAAGCTGCCCCCAGACCCACTACACCTGAGCTGAGAGCAGCACCTGAGCCTTAGGCCTTGGCCCGATCCCCCAGGTGCCTGCAGACAGCTGCTGTGCAGCTGACACAAGGACACTCAGCAAAAGGCGTCTCCTGTGAGACTGGTGCCTGCTCCTTGCCGCTTGGCCCCTAGGGCCACATGCCCTTACGCTGGCTGCAGCGGCACACCACCCCTAGCAAGCCTGCATCGAGGGATCCGAGTCCACAGGGGAGCTTTATGGGGAGCAAGGACACAAACAAACCAACACATGTCTGGATGTGGAAAGGGGGACACAAAACTCCACCAGGGCCTGCCTCTCCAGAAACAGGCGGAATCCTGCAGACCGCAGGCCGAGATGCGCTGACGGCTGGCCGGCCAGGGCAGATGGGCCCCTCCCTCCAGGTGTGCCTGGCTCTGTGGACGCCCCATCAACAGCACTGCTCCCCCTGGACGCCAGCTGCAAGCAGGCACAGGCGCTGTCAGCGACAAAGGTGACCACCAATCCACGAAGGGGCAAGCAGGAGCTGTATGCACTCGGCAAAGGAAAGGAACACGACCCAGGGAACAGGTGGCCGCTGAGTCGGGGATGGGCAAGGGAATGAAGAGAGACAGGTGGGGCAAGAGGCTGAGCTTCCGGCACCCACTCCAGCCCAGAGCACCCAGCCAGGGGCCAAGGAGCCGCCGGCGGGGGGGGGGGGGGGGGGGGGGGGGGACACAGACCCCGCACTTGTCAGGCAGCAGGCTTCTCACAGCAGTTTCCCAACTTTCACATGCAACAGTGTGTCCTGGGGTCAACTGGGACCCGCAGGCCAATCAGAAGCTGAGGAGGAAAGACACCCAGCAAGTCAGCCTATGAGCCACTCAGTCCCCTGCTGTGTGCTGCCCCAGGGCACCCTCACTCCACCACTTCCTCCTGCCCAGAGCAAGTGCTGGGGCGCAGGAAGGAGGGTGCCCACGGCAGAGGGCTGCCCTCAGGGCAGACAAGAACAGGTCAGTACCAGAAGGGATGGAACCAAACGGGACCCACAGCTTCCTGGGCTCCCTACTCCCCGCCTGGCCAACACACATGAATTCAGCAAGCCACCCAGGCAAGCCCTGAGAGCACCCAGACACACACCTGTCTCCCAGTGGGAGGGAGCAGGCCGCCAAGGGCAGGGACGCTGGGACAGGGCGGGGGCTGCCAGGTGCCAGCAGCCACTGGGAGCCTCTGGGCCAGCAGGAACCAAGCCACACCTGTGCCTCCCCATCACCCCAGCAAAGCAGGAAACAGGAAACCCAGGCCTGTTCAGAGGAGGCAAAGAGGCCCCCGGGAGAGGAGGAGTTATTGAGTCAGGCAGCCCGGTGCAGGGCAAAGGAACTCCAGCTCCGGCCCCAGCCGGTGACGCCACCACTAGAAACAAGGCAGTGTCGGGGCTGGGCAGAAAATCCTGAGGGATGCCCGGGCGGGCGGGCAGGCGGTAGGACCGGCCAGCCAGGCGGCCCCTAAGTCCCAGAGGCACACGCGCAGCAGAGCGTCCGAGCGCCAAGGCAGTGGCTCAGAGCATCCTCTGACCACAGGTCCCGACGGGAGGCGTGGGGCCAGGGACAGCTGCACCCCGGCCCGGAGGAGAGCACCCCACGCCGGCCTCGGCCGGGGGAGAGCACCGAAGGCCCTGGCCCAGAAGGGGCCCCCAGCCAAGGCCCTGACCGACCTAGAAGGGGTGTTCCTCCGGGGAGCGGGCAGCCCCGCGCGCACAGGCGATGCGGCGCTCGGGAAGCACCTCCACCCCGGGAGACGGACCTCCGGGTCCAGGGACGGGAAACTGACCACCGACAGCCCCCCAGGCCTCCTCGGCCAGCAACCAGGGACCCCGGCGCGGGGGGCGCGCCTCACCCAGCGCCAGGCCGCAGGCGGCGCCGGCCACCGCGCGGAAGCGGTCCATCTGCGTGGTCCTCTTGCTGTCCGGCTCCCACATCACCTGGCCCTCCATGATCTCGTCGCGCCCGGCCCGCGCCTCCTTGGACATGGCTAGGGGCGCTGGGGGCCGGCGGGGGGCGGCTGGGGCGCTGGGGGCCGGCGGGGGGCGGCTCGGGGCGCTGGCGGCCGGGGCTGGGGCGCTGGCGGCTGGGAGCGCACGTCTGAGCCGCCGCCGCCGTTCCCGCGGGACACCCGGCGCGCCCCGCCTCGGCCGGCGCCGCCCAGCGCGTGTAACCCTCCGCCGGACGCGCGGCGCAAAGAGTGCCCGCCGCGGGGACGGCGCGTGCGCGCAGGCGCGAGGGGCGGGGCGTCGGGCCCGCCGCGGCTTCCTTCGCGAACGCGAGCGGCCGTGGCGCAAACGCGCGGTGCGAGGCGACCGGGCGTGCAGGCAGAGTGGCTCTGAGCCGAAGTAAACGTCCCCCGCTAGTCCCGTTTGCTTTTTGAGCTGTTCTCGTTGCACTGAGTGGGCAGGGGGGCATCACACGCGGTTATAAGGCACACGGGCACAGGCACTCGTGAATTTTCTCTTGTTGACGAGAGCAGTGTTCCCAGGCAGCGTGCCTGTGGGCCTCGGGACGCACACGAGGGAGGGCCCCAGGAGTTGGCTTCGGACCCAGGCAGTGTCCAGGGCCGGGGGTGAGCCCAGAGTGGGTGAGCCCAGAGGAGTCCCGAAGGCGGGCAGAGGCTGCAGGTGAGCCCCCGGGGTCCGCGCGGCCGGCCTGGGACTGCTGAGCCTGCCAGGCTGCGATCCGGAGGAGCCTGACCTTGGTCCATAACCTCCCAGCTGGTTCGCCAGTCCCCCGCACAACTCCGACCCAGGAATGCACAACCGAAGGAACACTGGAGGGAGCTGGATGGGAAGTGGGCCACCAGGATTCGATCCAGCGCCCATATGGGATCCCAGCGCATGCAAGGCGAGGACTTTTAGCTGCTAGGCTACTGTGTCAGGCCTGTCTTTTCGCATTTATTGGAAATGTAGTGTTAGAAAAAGAGGGAGAAATGGAGACATAGCTTCACCCTTGATGCCACGATGCTGGCACCAGTCTCTGTTCCTTACCATCTCCCTGCCATGGCACCCAGCAGGCTTTCCAAGGTCTTGCACAGTCAGCCATTAGCCAACAGAAGAAATGACGCAAGCACGCCAAGCCCCCTGGCCCGAGTGGAGAGCAGTCCCACGACAGAGGCATGAGACCTTGGGAACAGCCTGAGGTTCCCCAAGGGCTAGACTGCAGGTGTGGGAGAGGAAGCCACAGGGCCAGCTGCCCCCCGGGCCGCTCCGGAACAATCTCATGGCGGGCTAACCGAGAGCTGGAACAGGCAGAGTGGCTGTCACTCGGGGCAGTCACCCCTGCCGCCCAGGCTACTGGAATCGCTCCGTCAGGGTCCACCTGCACCTAGGGTCTGCACCCTGACTTCAGCTGCCATCTGGACATTTGCATAACACGCTGAGACAATAAAAAGAAGACGGAAAAGGAACTGTCCTCAAGGACTAACATGGCTGCAACCAGAAGGAATCTGCTGGAACACACACTGCCACACCGAGCCACGCACGCTACCACACTGCACACCGCGTGCCCTGCCTCTGCGCCACCTGCCATGTGGCACCTGGGGGCCTTCACCTGCCATGCCCCGGCCCCCTGGCTCAAAGCAGCCAGCCACCAGCATCAGCTAGGAAGTCCAGCGCCCCCGTGCTGCTGTGACCCAGGGGAGGACAGAGCCCCAGCCGTGATTTTAAACCCCCACGGCTTCCATCAGATGCTGCAGGCAGGTAGGTCCCAGCTACGTTCTATGTGGCTCTTGTTTTAACCAGCTTGGGTTTTTGTGCGTTTTTGTTTATTCGGTTTTGTTACTTTGTGTGTTCAAAGGAAAAGATTTTACCTAAAAGCTGGAGTCAGGGCTTGGGTTGGAAAGTCAGCACTTCGGGCAGCACCACATGCCCTTGCCATGCTCGGGGCCCGCCCGTAGCAGGCTCCTCCACCACACCTGCTTCCTGCTCGGTCTCTGCCTGTCCTCACGTCCACGTGGCAGGGGATCACAAGGGCTGAGTGCCTGCCAGGCGAGCAGGAAGAGGGGTGGGCATCGCGGCTGGTCCTGTAATGCTGCATAGAGCAACTCTTTGTTGCTCACCACCCCCACAAACTCCTAAACGAATGAGAAAGAGCTGAGCGGAGCAGGGAGTGCAGGTCAAGAGGAAACTCTAGGCCGATATTTCTCGAGAATTCTGCTGCCCTGAATTGGCCTCGTGCCCAAAAAGATTATCCATCCATTTATTAATAGACTGTGTGTGCTGCACACCTGCCCCGTGCCACGCACCGTGTTAGTGCCAGCACTGAGGGCACCATGGGCCCGGCAGGCAGAGCCTTGCCTCTGCCACTGACGCGAGGGGGGACAGCAGACCACCCTGCACCCCTTTTTGTCCGAGGGTGGCGACTGGCTGGGGGCTACACACCACGGAGAGTTGTTTTGTTTTGTTCTGTTTCGTTTTTCAGTTAGAAAAAAAAGAGGAAGGTAACAGCATGCCTGGGGAGTGGTGGGCGTTTCAGAAGCGGCCAGAGCAGCAACTCCTTAATGAAGTTGGCACCAGCTGACATTTCAGTGAGGCAAGTCACCCAGCCTAGTGCTGGTTTTAAGATTTATTTATGTATTTATTGCAAAGTCAGAAATACACAGAGGAAGAAAGAGAGGAAGATGTTCCATCCGATGACTCACTCCCCAAGTGACCACAACAGCTGGAGCTGAGTCGATCCAAAACCAGGAGCCACGAACTTCTTCCGGGTCTCCCTCACAGGTGCAGGGTCCCAAGGCTTTGGGCCATCCTTGACTGCTTTCCCAGGCCACAAATAGGGAGCTGGATGGGAAGCAGGGCCTCCAGAACTAGAACCAGCATCCATGGGCCTGGCGCAATGGCCTAGTGGCTAAAGTCCTTGCCTTGAACGCACTGGGATCCCATATGGGTGCCGGTTCTAACCCCAGCAGCCCTGCTTCCTATCCAGCTCCCTGCCTGTGGCCTGGGAAAGCAGTGCAGGATGGCCCAAAGCCTTGGGACCTTGCACCTGCGTGGGAGACCTGGAAGAAGCTCCTGGCTCCTGGCTTCGTATCAGCACAGCACTGGCTCTTGTGGTCACTTGGGGAGTGAATCATCAGACAAAAAATCTTCCTCTCTGTCTCTCCTCTCTGTAAAGCTGACTTTGCAATAAAAATTAAAACTAAAAAAAAAAAAAAAAAAGAAAGAAAGAAAGAAAGAAAGAAGTGGCACCCATACGGGATCCGGCATGTTCAAGGCAAGGACTTTAGCTGCTAGGCCACCACACTGGGCCCGTAGTACTGGCCTTTAGGAAGAACCTTCCAGAGGGCTTAGCCAGTGCCAAGGGCCTGAGGCACACTTGGCATGCTCAGGCGGGAAGTGGCCAGCTGGAGGCTACAGGGTGAGGAGTCTCGGGCTCACTCCAGGTGTGCCGAGAAGCCGTGGGCAAGACCAGGGATCTGACAACATTTGGAAAGCTTCCTCTGGCTGCCGGGTGTCTGTGCTCCTGGGTTTGGGGAGGGGTCCCACACCACACACATGGTGATACATTTGTCTCTGCCCAGCTGGGGATCTGCAGATGGCCATGTATGCTGACACTTTGGAAGACATGCCGCTGAAACTTGCCAGACGGGTACAACTTCCTGTACCCACTCGGTTCTGCCCAGGCCTCAATCCAAGGGCTGCTGAGGGTGGCTGAAGGGGAAGTGAGAGGCACACAGGGCCAGCGGCTCACAGAGTCCCCCCTGTGGCTGTATCGGCCAGGCCACAGGAAGGTGAGAGCTGCTTCCAACTGGAGCGCCAGCTCCATCCCCGAGGGTGGCTGCACCACCAGCCTGCCCTGCACACCGAGCGCCGATGGAACTGGGCGGAGGTGGCGGTGGGTGACCACAGGCCAGGCACACTGAGGGCTGATGGAACTGGGCGGAGGTGGCGGTGACCACAGGCCAGGTGTGCTATGGTGGTGGCTCAGAGCTCAGCCACCCAGCACTGGAAGGCAGAGAACACGGTCCCGCAGCCCAGCTCACTGCACAGAAACAGGGCAGGAAGAGATGGGGACAGTTGGTGGCTCTGCCTCGGAACAGGGTCCACGGCCTCGGACGAGGCCACCGTGGAGAGGTGCCTCCAGAGGCCTGTTGGACGAACCAATGAACATGTCTGGCTGACGTGGACCCCCGGAGGGCCCTGTACACACAGACCTCCCCAGCCCGCCAGGATGGCCGGGGCCCCGTGGCCTCGCCTGGACACGGAGTCCAGTCACCCCACACACAGGCTCAGACAGCCTCAGGCTGGAGAGCGAGCTGTGCACCCTGTCCCAGCACACCCTGAGCAGAGGGGCCCTGGCGGCGGGAGGCGGGACGGTGGACCCTCCTGAGGGCCCCATTCGGGGTTTCCCAGTACAAAGCACAGGAAGGTGTTGGCAAATTTTCTTATCCCCAAGACAGAAATGGCAAGGCTGCACTTTCTTATTCATGGGGCGCGGGTCGAGGAGCTTCGGCCCACAGCACGGCTCTCAGAAGCGGAGGAACCCTGAACGAGCCTGCAACTTCAGTGAACTTCAGTTGGCCAGTCAGCTATCCATGAACCGAGCTTCTGCCCGGTCACCTGACACACACACCGCGGCCGCCAGCCAACGGCGACTACAACGCTCTCGCCGCCCCTGCCAGGGGCCCGGACATCACGGCCCAGGGCCAAGCCCCCTCGGTTCTTCACTTGTCCCTTCTCGACTCTCCCAGAACAGGACAAGAAGCAGGGGCCAGGTGAGCTGACCCTCCGTGACCCTCCGGCTGGAGCTGGCCACGGTCTGCTCTTGGGCAAGTTCTGCGATCTCGCTTCACTAAAGGCAGGCTTCCAGAAGACAGGATTATGAAACAGCCCCCAGGGTGTCCTGGCCTGCTGGGGCAGGAAAGGCCGCGGCTGATAAGATACCGAGAAATCTGTTCTCTCTCACAGGCACGTGTGCCCCCTTTCTTTGTGGCTTTTACATGATACCAGCAAGAGACCTCCAGACACAAGTTCCGGGTTAGAGTGGCCCCCCAAGTCAGCAGCAAAAAGAGGAGCCCCCAG